GCTGGTGCATCCCACACCCTGATGGTCTTGTCGCCACTTCCTGAAAGGATGTGGGCACTATCCGGGCTGTACGCCACCGAATTCACAACATCATTCGTGTGGCCCGTGAGCGTCTGCAAGCAGTTGCCGGTCGCAGCATCCCAGATCTTGATGGAATTTTCACCACTTCCTGAAAGGATGTGGGTGCCATCAGGGCTGTAAGCCACCGAAAACACCCAATGCGTGTGGCCCGTGAGGGTCTGCAAGCAGTTGCCGGTCACGGCATCCCACACCCTGATGGTCTCGTCATAACTTCCCGAAAGGATGTGGGTGCCATCAGGGCTGTACGCCACCGAAGACACCTCAGCCGTGTGACCCGTGAGGGTCTGCAAGCAGTTGCCGGTCACTACGTCCCAGATCTTGATGGAATAGTCACGACTTCCTGAAAGGATGTGGGCGCCATCAGGGCTGTAAGCCACCGAATGCACCCAACTCGTGTGGCCCGTGAGCGTCTGCAAGAAGTTGCCGGTCACTGCGTCCCAGATCTTGATGGAATTATCCCAACTTCCTGAAAGGATGTGGGTGCCATCAGGGCTGTAAGCCACCGACCACACGAATGAGGTGTGGCCCGTGAGCGTCTGCAAGCAGTTGCCGGTCGCAGCATCCCAGACCCTGATGGTCTCGTCCCCACTTCCTGAAAGCATGTGGGCTCCATCCTTGCTGTAGGCCACCGAAAACACCTCGTCCATGTGGCCGGTGAGGGTCTGCAAGCAGTTGCCGGTCACGGCATCCCAAATTTTGATGGTATTGTCCCAACTTCCTGAAAGGATGCGGGTTCCATCAGGGCTGTACGCCACCGAAGACACCTCAGCCATGTGGCCCGTGAGGGTCTGCAAGCAGTTGCCGGTCACGGCATCCCACACACGAACCAGGTTATCCGAGGAGCCGGAGACGATGGTTCCTCCATTGGGAGACCACTGCACGGAAGTTACGTATGAGCCCTCCAGGATGGTCCGCGGCGGGATGTCGAGCCGATCCTTCGGATTTGTTGTGCAGCCTTCGCTCTGATAGCATAGACCTTCGAGGCGACGCTCCACCGTGGCT